TCATCATCGCCATCATCGGGACACCATCATCATCACCATCAGCATCATCACCATCAGCGGGCCGCCATCATCAACATCACAATCATCACCTCATCATCCTCATCACCAACATCATCATTATCAGCATCATCATCATCATCATCATCATCATCATCATCATCATCATCATCGGGACACCATCATCGTCATCATCAACATCATCATCATCGGAACACCATCATCATCACCATCATCATCAACCTCATCATCAACAACCGCATCATCATCATCATCATCATCATCATCATCATTATCGGGACACCATCATCATCTTCATCATCATCATCATCTCACCATCATCAACATCATCAGCATCATCGGGGCACCACCATCAGCACCATCATCAGCAACATCATCATCAACAACATCATCATTACCGGGACACCATCATCATCACCATCATCATCATCATCAGCATCATCATCATCATCGTCAGCATCATCAGCATCGGGACACCATCATCATCACCACCAACACCATCATCATCATCATCCTCAACATCATCGTCATCATCATCATCAGCATCATCATCATCATCATCATCATCGGGACACCGACTGGACACCGGCGGGACACCGGCGGGACACCGGCGGGACCGCGGGCCACGGGCCCTCGGAAAGGAATCACTTGGTCCGGCGACAACAACCAACAGCAAACAGCAAACAACAAACAACAAACAACAAACAACAAACAAAAACAACAACAACAACAACAACAACAACAACAACAACAACAACAGCAACATCAAGAATCCGCATCGCGGAATTCCACTTCAGCCACGCACCCAGGGACAGTGAATGACCGTTCGGTTCAGCCCCCTCACTCTGACTCAGGCGATCGCAAACATGGAGCAAGGGGGCGTGGATCATCGACGGGTCCCGCTTCCATGGGACATCGCGGACTTCCGCCGCCGAGCGAGGCGGCACCAGCCGCATTCCGGGGAGGGCACCTACCCCGATCCATGGATTTGGCGACCGCTCGCCAAATCCAAGGATCGCTAATCCATGTTTTTGTGTGCCCCCGACAGATGTGTACGTCGCTGCGTCGTGCTGGTCAACGTCGGCACCTTGCTGCTGGGAGGGGTTCCCTCGCAGTGCCCACGAGCGGCGCGAGGATAGTCACCTTCTTCGCGGGCTCTGGCTCGTCGACCGCGCTTTGCCCCTGCTGCTTCTGACCCATCGACCGCCACGATGCACCGAGCGATGGGTTCCCAGGGCTGGCTGGCGATGTGATGGTCGCTGTCACCGGGCCGGCCTGCTGGTCCTTCGGCTTCCGTCGGGAAACCATCCACGTCGAGGGGTCGTCCGCCTGTCACTTCGGCCTCCCTGTCCAATCGATCCACATGTTCCGTACAGGTCTCTGTTAGTTGTGTCTTTGTTTCTAGTTGTTTTGGGTGTTCGTAGTCGTTCGGGGTCTGTGCTTCTATCGTTATCTGCGTGTTCTTCCCGAGTCGTCTCTTTGGTGGCCTCCTTGGGCCCGCTCGACTGGGGTGCTCTGGCAGGGCTAGACGGGTCTCTGCCGCTGCTTCTGGCTGGGTTTCCGTGCCGTTCTGCGGTCAACGGATCTTTTTCACGGTCTGGCCTTGCAGTTGCTTCTCGACCACACATTCCAGCTGGGTTCTCGGGCCTGAGCCCCGCAAGTGCGTCGTCACACATCCATCTAGTCTTGCCCCACTTCTGCGTCCCACTTGTTAGTATGATGCCCCAATCCGTCCGCTCGTGATTGATGTCTTCCAGTCGTTCATTCGCGCATGCAGAAAGTGAGCTGTAGACTACAGTGGAGGCCCATGCCAAGAAAGACCCTGCTTGCCTCCAGGGTGCCCTGGTTTTCGTGGGTTTCAATGGTTCTGCTGTGGAGAGCGTGACGTTCCCCCCACCAAAAATCCATGAACGTCCTGAGGTCTCAGGGTTGGGTTTCTTGTGGAAGGTTTCTTGTGGACGGGCCCCTACTGCGCAATCTTCATCACCAGGAAACGAAGCTCAAGAACTCTGCTTGGCTCGAGGACCTGCACCCACCCCCCGAGGCAGAGGGTGAGAGTCAGGGCCGAGGTTGCGGTGGGTGGGATCTTGTGCCCTCCCAGCGGGTTTGCATAGCCTCGGACCTCCCCGCGGCAACCTGGGAGAAGGAGAAGGAGGAGGAGGAGGAGGAGAAGGGATGAGGAGGAGGAGGAGGAACGAGGAGGAGGAGGAGGAGGACGAGGAGGAGGACGAGGACGAGGACGTCGACAACGAGTCGAAGAGGGAGGAGCAGGGAGGAGGGCCTGACGGCGACGGCGACGCTTGCGGCGGCGGCACCGCCGCCGCCGCGCGCTCGAGGAGGTCGCTGCCCGCCACCCTGCAGGCGCCGCCAGCGCCACGCCCCCGCCATCCCTTCTAGGCTGGCGGCCCCCGTGGACCGCGGGCGGTGCCCGACGGTGCGGTCACCACACCGTGGGGTGCATCCGTGGGGACTCGAAGGAACCATCGGCCCGTTCTCGGAGTGACCACGCGGCTTGGGGACTCGAGTCCCTCCCCGAGGACGTCTCGACCTCCGCGAGGGCCCCTCGGAACCCGAAGGAGCGGCCCGTATCTCCGTCCACGGGGGGTAGGTCGGCCAGCGGGGCCCAGGCCACCCCAATGGGGACAGGGGTCGGCCAGACGATACTCAGAGGGGGATCGGCGGCGCGCGAGGGGGGGGAAGTGAGAAGGGGCGGACCTTCTCCGAAGGTTCGGAAGTCCCCCGGTCTTACTGAGAAGCTTTCTGCGCCCTCCCCGCACAGTCCTGGCGAGGTCTGCCGCTTCTGGCCACAGGGATATGTCCGTTTCGTGCGCCGAGGAGCGCGTGAGCCCCCCCCCACGTGCCGCGCACCGCTCTGCTTCAGGGCGCACTCGAGGAGCTAGGGCCACTTCCGGAAGGTCCCGCATCGGCCGAACCCTGACCCATGTTCCCGATGAGCCCGCCGCGGCCTCCTCCTCCTCCTCCTCCTCCTCCTCCTCCTCCTCCTTCTCCTCCTCCTCCTCCTCCTTCCTCCTCTCCTCCTCCCCTCCTCCCCCTCCTCCCCTCCTCCTCCTCCTCCTCCTCCTCTCTCCCTCCTCCTCCTCCTCCTCCGCCTCCTTCCCCCCTCCCCCTCCTCCTCCTCCGCCTCCTCCTCCTCCTCGTCCTCCTCCTCCTCCTCCCCCTCCTCCCCTCCTCCTCTCCCCCTCCTCCCCCTCTCCCCTCCCGCCTCCTCCTCCTCCTCCTCCTCCTCCTCACTCATCCTCCTCCTCCTCCTTCTCCTCTCCTCTCCTCCTCCTCCTCCTCCTCCTCCTCCTCCTCCTCCTCCTCTCGGCGGCGAGCAAGGGGGGAACTGAGAAGGAGAATCTGGAATTTATGGCATGAACTTAAAAGTTCGGAGGTCCGCGCGGATTTCTCGGATCCGCGCTGGGCCCCCCTGGCGGCGGTCTGGCGCCGCCCTTGGCGCGCTCCGCGCGCCAGGGAGGTGGTCTAGCGCCGATCCGCGCGGACCTCTGGATTTTTCTGCTTATGTCAAGGTTTGTTCCTCTAGAACCCATAGAGAAGGCCTTCTGAGAAGGCGACAGGACTTCTCGGAAGCCTTCTGGTGTCTTCGGGGAGGCGGAGGAAACTTTCCAGAAGGCTGGGGGACTTCCGAGCCTTTGAGGAGGCCCGCCCCTTCTCACTTCCCCCCTCGCTCGCCGCCGAGAAAGGTCATAATCCAGGATTTCCTAGAGATAATCCTGATGTTCCACTGGGGCTGGAGATCCGAAGGCCGCCAGATATTCAGGGAATCCTGAAACGTATCACCGATCCTATCTTGACATGATTCCCGTCCTAACGATGGCGACATCGTCGATAGATCCGCACGAGGTGGCTGGGAACAGTTCGGCGCCGCAGACCAAGAATGCATTGCGAAACCCCGAGTCGGCGTTGAGCCCGTGTCCAGCAACCTTGGGACTGTAGCAAGCATGTCCTCGGTGACGCCATTGGCCGCCAGCGAACTGCAGCAGCAGCTGTACAACCATTGTGCAGGCGATCGCAAACATGGATCAAGGAGGCGTAGATTAGCGACGGGTCCCGTTTCCATGGGAAATCGCGGCTTTCCGCCGCCGAGCGAGGCGGCACAGGCCGCATTTTGGGGAGGGCACCTCCCCCGATCCATGGATTTGGCGACCGCGCGCCAAATGCATGGATCGCTAATCCATGCGTGCGCGCCCCCGATGTCTGTGACCGGCCAGGAGGTTGGCTCGGGCGGTTGCGAACCTTCAACAAGCTAGCCATCACCAGACTACTCGCATCATCAACCCTGGCACTGAAGTGAGCACCGAATCCTTGTCACCGGGCGCTTTCCACTATTCGCAAAGTGCATACTCGCAAACGTCCGAAAACAACATATGTCTGCGCTGATGTAATGTATCGTAGATCCTCCGGGGGGGATCCAGGCCATTTCATTTGCCAGTAGTTACTCCGCGAGTAGCGGAACGCACCAGCGGGGTCCGTCTGACTTCATTTGCGAGTGAGTAGTTGTGGCCGAAGCCACTGTGGATCGGGACTGGGGCCAGCCAGAACGAACATTCGAGACCACTCGGGTCGGGCGAAAGGGGGGGATTGGGAAAAATGGGTTAGGAATTCTGCTGGCATGCAGCTGGTTTCGGCCTCAGCCGGGGCCCATGCCCCAAGTGCGGCCAAAATGCCGCCTCCTTCGGCCGGGAGGCGCCGGAAAATCAGCTATACTTGAGCTGATTCTGGACCCCCCCCTTTCTAGTGCCCCCCTTCCCCCCGACCCGAACCACTCGGGCGAAGAAAAGAACTATGCACATGCACCGATCCTGGCAAGGCCCATCCTTGACCCAGGATCGGTGCATATGCCTTCCTGGCCAAGGTAGGAGGGCGTATGCACCGATCCTGGGCTCAGGATGGGCCTGGCCAGAATCGGTGTATATGCATAGTTCTTTTTCCTCTAACCACACCGCGCTAGCGCCTGCAGCATGGACTGGCCCCGCGCGGATGGGCGCCTCGCCAGCCTGACCGCGCAGCAGAGGGCCGGCGTCGACGCTGGGGCCAGCGGGGGGCGGCCGGAGGCGCCCGGCTGGTGCAGCGCCCCAGCGTGGCAGGTGCTGGGCCTCCTCCTCTCCTCCTCCTCCTCCTCCTCCTCCTCCTCTCCCTCCTCCTCCTCCTCCTCATCCTCCTCCTCCTCCTCCTCCTCCCTCCCCTTCCTCCTCCTCTCATCCTCCTCTTCCTCCCCACCCTCCTCCTCCTCCTCCTCCTCCTCCTCCTATCCTCCTCCTCCTCCTCTCCTCCTCCACAATTACTCAATATGAATACTACTCTCCCTCTTCCCCCGATGGCGGCCTGAAAGTATTTCGACCCCCCCCCCGCGTCTTGTTTCTTACACAGGATTCCCGGGAGTTTGGTTTTCGCCTGCAATTTTTCCAAAATGCTGCTCTCGCCGAGGCGCCGGCCTCATTTTCGGGCCCCGCTCGTTCCGAATCGTGCTCCCGCTGCAGCGCTGGCCTCATTTCCGTGCTTCCGCTCGTTCCGAATCGTGCTCCCGCTGCAGCGCTGGCCTTTTTTTCCGCGCTTCCGCCCGTTTCGACTCGTGCTCCCGCTGCAGCGCTGGCGTCATTTCCCGTGCCATGCCACAGCACACGCGCACACACGCACACACACGCACACACACACACACACACACCACAGGGGAACGAATGGATACCGCTAGTCCGCGGCCAGTGCCAGGGCTTCTCCGCCCGACAGTTTTGTTTCAGTCGCTGGCAAAGGGTAGGCTGTGCGCTGCCCACTCGCCATGTCCAGTGCTTCGCAGAGGGCCAGGTCGGAGCCGCGGGCCAAGGGCGGCGGCAAGGCCAAAGGCAAGGGTGCCGGCAAAGCGGGCAAGACCAACGCCAGTGGATCAGACCCTGGGGACTACGTCCGCTGTGTGCACTGCGCGTACAAGTGGAACTTCAAGTCCAGGGCCGAGTGCTTCCACTGCAAGAAGGCGCTCAAGCCAGCCGTCGTGGACGAGACTGCGCGGCCATGGCCTGGGGCTTGGTCTTTCGTGCGGAAGCCGTGGGTGGCGCACGACGATGCCTGGTGCGTCGACACGCCGTCCGTGGCCAGCCCTGCCTCCGACGCCGAGTGCCTCGCGGCGCTGGCGGCTCGGCACCCCGAGCAGTGTCAGAAGCTGGAGGCCATCAAGTTGGCCGTCGCACCGCCCGTTGTGGCCACGGTGCTGCCAGACGTGGCCCTCAACCGCGCGCAGGCCAAGCAGCGGAGGGCTCAGGCTACCTTCGCGGCCAAGACCCAGCAGGTCCGCGACGCCGAGCAATGGCTCCAGGTGTGCCGCGAAGAGGAGCTGCGCGCGGGGGAGGCACTCCTGGCGTGCAACCTGGAAGTGGAGGATGCCTACAAGGCCGCCGCGCCCAAGGGCATCCAGGTGCAGGCGCAGGCGGAGCAGCAGCAGCCAGGAGGCGAGCCCAGGCCAGTCGTCGGGCTCAACGTCTCGGCGCTCTTGGCGGAGGACTTCCAGGTCGAAGCGGGGGGCGCCTTTAAGCTCGACGATCCCGGCTTGGACACCGCAGAGGCCGAGCGCGAGGAATTCAGCAGGTCGCTGCAAAGCTTCGTCGACAAGGTCAAGCAGCACGTCCGCACCACCTTCGGCGACGCCAAGGCGCAGCTCGAGCAGAGGCGCAGCGAGATCGACGCCAAGCATCAGTTGCTCCTCGCCAGGCGCAAGCGTCCCCGTACCGAAGCGGCAGCGCCAGAGCCAGCCGCCCCAGCACCAGCAGCTGGCCAGGCCGCGGCCGCGGGAGAAGGCGAGCCGCCTGCAGCAGCGGCAGCCGCCGCCGCCCCCAGCCAGGACGCAGCCCCTGAGCAGCCACCTGGGGACGATGCTGCTGCTGCTGGTGCTAGCCCTGCGGAGCCACCCAGCCTCCGCGGCCCCGATGGCCCAGCCAGGTTGGAGCAGCTCAGGCGGGGGCGGGCCCAAGCCGCACCCGCCCCAGCAGACGCCACCGCTCGAGACCCCCCCCCGTGGGGCCCAGGAGTTGAGCCAGGGGCCTGGCCCAGAGCGTCGCGGTTGCGCCCTGCACCGCGCCTGGGAGCCTCCTGCCCTCAGGGCAGTCGCGGCTGGAACTCGGACCCGTGCGTCTTCCTCCAGATGGGCTGCCTGGAGTTCAGCGCCATGAGGGGCGACCTGGCAGCAGCTCCAGGCGGCGGCTCTCGCACCGCAGAGTGGAGGAGTTTCGCTCGGGAGGTGTGTGAAGATGCCGGGAATCGCTCGCGGAGCATCGACACCAGGCCACTTCTACGGCAGACGTTGGAGGACGCGCAGGCAGCCGAGGAGGCCGCCGACGAGAGGGGGGCAGCCAAGCTGGACCGCACTCAGCCCGCGGAGGAGAGGTGGCTCGACCGACAAGCGCAACAGGCTACGACGACTCAGGCCAACCTCACCGTGGTCAGCGTCGACAACCTATGAGGCAGGAGGCTCTGTACCGTCCAGGATCTGGAGCGCTCGGTGTGGCCGCAGACGCACCTCATGCTCGCGTTGTTCAGTGGAAAGCTTGACGGCCTTTGGCGACTTATCATTTCATGGCATGGCCCTTGCAGAATCTGGGAGGCTTGGCAGTTCACCTCCATCAGGTCTACGGAGATGCGTGCCCCGCCGACTTTGCCGCGAGCCACGCGGATGTTTCCCTGGATGATGGAATCCCTCGTGGGCTTGGAGGTCGCCAGGGCATGTGATGGAGCCAAGGGCAAGCGCTCGTTCTGGCAGGCGGCCTGCCCCCCAGCAGGCCTCCAGCTGGGCATGGCGGCCCTTGGGGTGCCGCTTAGCACTTCCGAGAGTTGGCTCGGCATCGACTACGGCTTCAGCGTCGCAGCCGTGGGCCATTCAGCCCCTGTGCGGCCATGCGGCCAGCTCTGCGACGAATCCACCCAGTTCGGCACCATGCAGCTCGGCTACTGGCAGCGCAGCAGCAGCCCGGCCTGCGCCTCAGTGCGGGACCAGCTCTCACTGCACGGCGCGGCTCCCGCTCCCTCCTGTCGGATTGCCTGCCGCCTGGAGGCCATCGCCCCCTCGCCCGAGGCGGCGAGGCGCCTGGGGGAGGGAGGTCCGCGACGGACCCCCTGCTACGGCCTGGCGCGGGCCCCCCCCGAGCAGTGCGTCTACTGGGTCGCCGAGGGCGACAACTCCGAGCTCAACGGCGCGCTGGTCTCGGAGGGCTCAGTTGTGGGCCTGGGCGACCTCAGCCACGGTGGCTGGCCGCCGCTACAGTGCAAGTCGGACGCCCACGAAGGGGAGCAGGGCCTCGTCGGCCCTCTACCTTGCCCCGACCCGAGCTCGGTGATGGCAGGTTTGTGGGGGTTGCTCAGCTTCCTCAGGCACGCGGTCGTCGTCGCGACCATCATCATCGACAGCGACCTCGCAGGCGTCTGGGCCAAGGCTGGGGCGGATCTCCGTGCGCCGCCAGACTGGGCCCAGGTTCAGCTCAAGCAGGAACTCAAGGCCAACAAGTGCAGGCCGGAGTACATGGGTCTTTTCAGAAAGGCCAAGCGGGGCGAGCCTCGCCCTCAGCAGCCGAGCACCAACGCGCCCTGGGCAGCCAGCCCCAAGACGGCGCCCAGGCAGCCACGCGTCTTGGGAGCGTGGCTGGGGTGCCACAAGTGCGTCAACTACGGCAAGGTGGCAGGCGCCCGTCTCGCGGCCTTCCAGCTGCAAGAAGGCCGTGGCCCACCCCAAGGGCTCCAGGGTCAAAACGCCAAGAGCGCCGTCAAGAGGGGAAGTGTGGCGGTTCCCCTGCTAGTGGCAGATGGCGCCACTGGCCGCGCCGTGCGCCAGCGTGCGGACCATGAGGGCCAGGCCGAGGAGCTGCGGGCACCAGACCAGCCCCCCCGCAGGGGCTGCCTGCTTAGGACCCACTTTGGGCGCCAGTGGCAGCGGCCAGGGCAGCCTTGCGCAGGATGGAGGCCCTGCCGGATGGACCTGGGTGCATGGGTGCACCGCCCCCCGAGCTCATCCCAGAACAGCACCACGTGAGGTCGGTCATTGACGACGCGGTGGCGTGGGCCTCTTCCTGGATCGACAGGTTCGACCTGGACGACTACACCAATGAGAGGGACTACCGCACGTGGTGCTCCGAGTACCTGGAGGTGTTCCTGGGTGCCGAAGCTTGGTCACACGTCCGAGAGCACCTCCTCAGGAGCAACCCTGGGCGCACGCTGCGGCAGATCGTCGACGATTTGCGTGCCACGTCATGGACGAGGGCGGGGCCAGCTAGACAGGCACAGTTGGCCAGGAGGAGGTCCGACTCGGACTTGACCAGCAGGCAGAGACGACGGCTCCTACGGCATCACTCCGACGTGTTGCACCAGATCAGGGTGCGCTTCAGGAGCTTGTTGGGGGACCGCGCTCCACCCGAAACAGCCCCGTGGCATCAGTGGGGCTTCGAGCCGCTCTCCTCGGGTTCCGACGATCAAGGTGGAGATGTGGCTGGTCAAGCCCAGGATTGCGCCCGCGGCTACGACGATGGCGGCGAGCGCGCGGCCCTCAGCGGGCGCAGTGACAGGGCGTGCGTCGCAGAGGGCGCGCGGGAGGCCTTGTCCCAGCAACAGCGGCCTTCACCTCCCTCAGCGTCGGGCTCGGCGGAGTCAAGGCGCACGTCGGCGCACGACCCCGACCTAGCCTCCAGGGCACCCCCACCACAGGAGGCGGCGACAACAGCGAGAGGGGCGGGGCGGGAAGTTCCTGTGCGGACCCACAGTGCTGCCCAGTCGGCCCACCATGCTCAGTGTGTCGGCGCTCGTGGTGATGAGGACAAGCTCGCTTGCCCCCTGGACCTGGGCGGTGCGACGGCTACGGCGGGGGCCCAGTCTGCGGCAGCGGCGGCTGCGGCGCCCTCCCCGCCTGGGCGCGGGGCGCGCGGGCGGGCGCCCTCCGCCCAGTGTGCCTGCCGCGGGCAGCCTGCGCCTGTGGGGCCACGGGCGGCCCCAGCGGAGCCGCGGCCACGCGCCGTCGAGATCGTCGGCACGTTCGTGGTGTGCGTCGCGTGTGGGTCGTACTACGGCTCGGTGACCAGGGCCATGGGCGGCCCCTGCAGGCGGCTTGATCCCAAGGATCCTGGGGATCGCGAGCGTCAGAGGCGGATCCTCCGCATAAGGCGAGGCCAGGACCCAAAGATGGGCAGAGATCTGAGGTGAGGCCGTTGTGCTCGTTCAATGATCTAAATGGTCTCTCTGTCGCACGTTTGCCCTCCAGGCGCGAACGTCCGTTGCGGATCAGCCGCATCTTGCGAGGCCAGGCCCCCTTTGTCGGGCAAGGATATGTGGCGTTGTGCTTGTTCAATGATCTGTTGGTCTCTCGGGCGCGCGTTTGCCCTCCTTGGCGCGGCGGGCCCGTGAGCTGAGGAGCCTGGGCGGAGGTGGCCGCACGGGGCGCTCGGGCCTCTCTTCCCGCCCGCGGGTGGCCTGGGCGTGGCGCTCGCTGTTCTCGGCTCCCCTTGGCGCCAGGCTGAGGGGCCTAGGGCGGGGCGCGGCCCTTGGGGGCCTCGGCGCTCTGCACCCCGGGGAGTTGGCGGGGGCGCTGCCCGCGACTCGGCCCCGCCAGGCTCGGAAGGCGGCGGAAGGTCGCTCGAGGGCCCAGCGCACGGGCCTAGAGAGGTGTCGACGCCCCAGGTTGCCGATGCACCAAAGCACCAAAATACACACACACACCACCACCACCACCACCACCACCACCACCACCACCACCACCACCACCACCACCACCACCACCACCACCACCACCACCACCACCACCACCACAACCACCAACACCAACACCAACACCACCGCCACCGCCACCACCACCACCACAACCACCACCACCACCACCACCACCACCACCACCACCACCACCACCACCACCACCACCACCACCACCACCACCACCACCGCTACCGCTACCGCTACCACCACCACCACCACCACCACCACCACCACCACCACCACCACCACGCACGCACGCACGCACGCACGCACGCACGCGCACCACCACCCACTAGTCCGCGGATAGAGAAAATCAGCGCCATGGTAAAGGATGGTAAGGAGGGGTAGGACGTCAGATATGACGCGCGCGCACCTAGCTCGTCCTCCCCCTTTCTCCTTCTCCTCCTCCTCCTCCTCCTCCTCCTCCTCCTCCTCCCCCTCCTCCTGCCCTCCTCCCCCTCCTCCTCTCCTCTCCCCCCTCCTCCTCCTCCTCTCCTCCTCTTTCCTCCTTCCTCCTCTCCTCCTCCTCTCCTTCTCTCCCCTCCTCCTCCCTCCCCTTCTCCTCCCCCTCCCCCCCCTCCTCCTCCTCCTCCTCCTCCTCCTCCTCCTCCTCCTCCTCCTTCCCCTCCTCCTCCCCTCTTCCGCCCCTGCTCAACTCGGAGGTTCATAGACCTCCTACCCTGACACGTCGATTAGCGAGTTGGCCGTTTTCCGTTCGCGAGGGAGCGTCGGGGCCGTCATTTTTCCGGGTCCAGGTCAGTCGGTTTCGGTTTTAGGCCGTTTTCAGCACAGGGTGGTTTATTAAAGGGAGGTTCGACCACTGCCGATCAACACCTGCTCGGACAACGCCTGGGAGGCCCCCACAGGTGGACTTCGGCTGCGGGCACCCCTGCCCCGTGTCGCTGCTGACGCCGCGGAAGGTCAGCCTCCGCGAGCCTGCAGCCTTCGCGTTTCGGACCCAGGCGAGCGACGCAAGAACACTTGAGTCGGGTACGGCCCTCTGCAGGAGGGATATCCAGGAACAGTCCACAAAAATAGTCCGGGGGCGATGATTTTATCATTTGCTGACACTATGTTGGAGCAGATTGTGAGTTTTGCAGCACCAAAACAAGCCCAATAATCCGCCTGTGGGGGGACAGGCCCGACCCAAAGCAAGGACACAGGGGTCCCCTGCGCCAGCATCCGCGCGCAAGCTGTCCGCGTGAGGTCGCGCGAACGCGCCCTCGTCTCCGGTGTGGCGGGCCGCGCCGGCGGCCCGCGCGAGCTGCAGCGTAAGGTCGCGACGACCTCTCGCGTTAGACTTCAGTCGGGCCTGTCCCTCTACAGGTCAAATATTCGAATCTATATATATATATAATCGGGGATGATTCTTGGATTCTTGGACAGTTTTAAGCTATTGGGGGCATTTTGGTTTTTTTCGCCCAAAATCCGCCTGTAGGGGAACATGCCCGACCTGAACGTTAGACCCGTGTTTGATCCTCGCGCAGGTGGGCGTGCCGGCGAAAGTCGAGATATACGGCCGGAGACAGCCACCAGACCGCCGCGCGCAGGGCGCGCCCGCGGCCACGCCGCGCGCGGGCACCGCGCAGCGTTGCGCCGCGGCGGCGCCCGGGCCCCCAGCGCCGCCACTGCGGCGCGAGCCCTCGGCCGCGCGCGAGGCCGACGAGGCTTACCTAGGGCCCTTTCCCCCTGCAGGAGGAATAGTCCAAGATAGTCAGTCAAACATGGTCCAGGGACAATGTTTCGGCGTGTTTTGATTATTGTTGGGGGCGCGTTTACGGTATTTGTTTCATTCTTCCTCCAAAATTCGCCTGTCGGGGGACAGGCCCGACCTCACGCGAGGCCGACGCGGCCCCCGCAGCCGAGCGCCGCAGGGCGCCCGGCGGCGCAGCCGCGGGCGGCGCGGCCGCGCCGAGCGTGCCGCGGGGGCGGGGCGGCGGGGCGCCGGCTCCGTGGCTGGGGCCCGAGCCAGACGGCGAGGCTCGAGCTCGGGCGAAGCGAACTATGCTTAAGTCGGGCCTGTCCCCCTACAGGGGGATTTTCGACGGAGGATAAAAAAACCTAAAAATAGTAATAAAAAAACAAAATCCAAAAATAGTCTGGGGATTGTTTTTTAGCATTATTTGACCTTTTTTGAGAATGTTTGGCGTATTTGTCCCTCGTCGAAAATCCCCCTGTAGGGGGACACGACCGACATAAGACTATGCACATGCACCGATCCTGGCAAGGCCCATCCTTGACCCAGGATCGGGGCCTATGCTTTCCTGGCCAAGGTAGGAGGGCGTATGCACCGATCCTGGGCTCAGGATGGGCCCAGCCAGCATCGGTGTATGTGCATGTTTTTCTTGTGTGAGCAGTAGCGAAGCGTCCAGGCTCGCCCATACTTCTGGCGGTCGCAGACATGGATCGAGGGGGCGTGGATTAGCGCCGGGTCCCGTTTCCATGGGAAGTCGCGGAGTTCCGCCGCCGAACGACGAGGCGGCACCGGCCGCATGTTGGGGAGGGCACCTTTCCCCGATCCATGGATTTGGCGACCGCTCGCCAAATCCATGGATTGGTAATCCATGTTTGCGCGCCCCCGATCTAAGTGGATAGGGGGTGACAAGTGGATATCAAGGTGGGTTATATCTGGCCCACCCTGGCTTATAAGTGGGCTACAAATGCCCCAAGTAGCTTATGGGGGGGATACCGTTCCGAGCTAAGTGGGCTCCGCCCACTTAGCCGAGTTCTTTAACCCTTTTGAACCACTCGGAGAATGTGTAACCTACCTGTAAGCCGGGTTGGGCCAGATATAACCCCTTTTAGCATCCATGTGGAACCCCCCATATCCACTTAGAAGTCCCCACTGTCATCCCAGTAGGCCCACCAAAGAAAGTTCCAGGAACCTGTTTCTGCGGTCTGCACGACATTGTCTTGGAACACTTCTGGCTAAGGCCGTCCTGTTTTAGCTCATCGGGCGAATGTTTTAAGAACCTTGAACCTTGTTTTTTGTTCCTCGAGCACTCTTGGGGATCTGAGAACGCTTCGTGGTAGGCCTACAGGAATGCCGGGACGGTCGGTCCCTGCCCAATGAGGCAGTGGTGGCCCTGGGGCCCGAGCTGGCGGCCGCGGGTGCCATGGCCTGCGGCGCGCACGCGGGGGGACCGAAGCGCCCGAGGGGGCCGCTGCCGGGGGCCCGCGCCGCGGGCAGCCTCGGCGGGGCCGTCGGGGGCGAGATCGTCGGCTACCTGTCCTGCTCGGGTGCGGCTAGAAGTGCCCCTGGCCTGGTGCTGCTCTCATCACTCGGGGGTTGACCCCAAAGGGGGTCCAGCGGCAAGGGGGTGGTGCAATAGATTTGATGCATCCGATTTTTGGGGTTGCGATACATTTGGGGCGTGCGATACGTTCCGGGGCGCAAATGTGTTGCTGGATGTTCGCGCGTATGCAATACAATTTTCCGGCACACTACACTTGCAGCACAATTGCCCGAAATCTATTGCACCATCCCCTTTCAGCTGGACCCCCCTTTCGGGTTACCCACATCGTCGCACTTAAGAGTTATATCCCAGATCTAATTTCGAGCACCCAGAAATAGTTTCGAAACAGTGTCGAACGAGTATCGCCTTCCAGGGCACGACACGTGAAAGCCTTCAAATGTTCGGTTCTTTCCGGGTGCCCGACACTCTTCCTGGCGATCAAGCCTAAAGTAAGTTGGATAATGATTACCTTGGCCCAGGGTGCCCCCAGGATTCTCGGGGTGGCCCAGAGGGCCTCCAGAGAGCGCCCCTCACGAGGCCCAGAGGGGGCCCCCAGGGGTGCCAACATGGAGCGAAAATGCTGGGGGGCACCTTGGGCTAAGTCGGGCATGTCCCTCTACAGGAAGAATATTCGAAAATAGTTCTAAAACATATATGGGGAGGAGGTTCTACTATTTTTGAATATTTGGAGGTCTGGGGATACTTTTATATATTCGCCCGTTATCCGCCTGTACTCCGACCTGAACCTTGGGCCAGGGACACCTCTAGCAACGCCCGACCTGCCTCTCCTGCCTGCACCACGCGCAGCCTGGCGCCTCGATGGGCGCCAGCCCGGGCGAGGCCCGCTCGGCATCTTCAAAACCGATTGAAGGAGGTGGGGAGGAGGAGGAGGAGGAGGAGGAGGAGGAGGGGGAGGAGGAGAAGGATCATAATGAGGAGGATGATGAGGAGGAGAAGGAGGATGAAACAGAGGAGGAGGAGGAGGAGGAGGAGGAGGAGGAGCACGAGGAGCAGCAGGAGGAGGAGGAGGAGGAGGAGAGGAGGAGGTCTTCCCAATCGCCCCCGAGGACGCCGCGGCGGGCCGCAGCGCGGGCCCGGCGGGGTGCCTCTCCCCATACTGGGCGGCGGCGCGCCCCCGCGGCGGCGAGGGCGGCGCCGCCGAGGCCGGGCCCTGGCCGGGCGAGCGGCGGAGCCCCGCCGCAGAGCCCGTACGCGCGGGTGGCGCATCGGGGGACGAGGAGGAGGAGGAGGAGGAGGAGGAGGAGGAGGGGGAGGAGGAGGAGGGTCCGCAGCCATTTTGGCTCAAGCCATTTTGGCTCAAGCCGTGTGTGGGACCCCCGCGCCTCAAGGGAGCGCCCGGGCGCATGTCGGCGCTTCGGGGAGGGAGCCCTACAACTCCCAAGAGATTAGTCAGGCTTCATTGCCTGGCCCTGTGTGCGCTCCTCGGAGCAGCAAGCCATGCCGCATGTGGACACCACGAGTCTCGTCTGCACGAATTGCGGCTGTAAGAAGAATCCTTGGTATTACCATTCTTGCTACCATTGTGGGCATCCTCTCTTATCTGGTCCAAGTACCTCTGTCTACCCACGGCCTGCAGGTGCGTGGAAACGCTCGAAGCGCTCGTCCCTACCCATCGACTTCTCGGTCCCCTCCCAGCAGCAGCAGTCGAAGTTCTGGGGCAAGGGGTGGAGGTCGTACGGCAAGGACAACGGAGGAGGCAAGAGCGGAGGCTGGAAGAGAGGAGGCGCAGGTGGCAAAGGTGGTAAAGGCGGCAAGAGGTCCCCAGGAGGAAAGAGGCCCGACTCGCCTCCTTTTAGGGCCCTTTTCTTCACCCCCTGGTGGGTTTCCGCCCCAGTTCAAGCAGTGGCGAAGCGTTTTGGCGTGTCTATAGGCCTACCAAGCAATGTGTTGAGAACTTGTTGTGGCTTCCACGAAATGTTCTTCGAACCTTTCTGCCTGGGACTGCCTTGTTTAAACACATCGGGTTCACGTTCTGAGAACATTGTTTTGGTTCTTAGAACATTTTAGGGTTCTAGGAATATGTCGTGAGGAGGGATATTCAAGAATAGTCACTAGTCAAACATATTGCGGGGACGATTTTCTCATTATTTCGTTTGAGCATTTGGGGGGTACGTGATGAGTATTTCTTATTTCGGCTCCTGTCCCAGTGCACCGCCCGCCCGACCGCCGCGGCGCCCGCGCGCGCAGGTGGCGCAGCGGACGTGCCGGGAGCGGGCCTTCGAGCGACGGAGCCCGCCGGCCCGGGCGGGCGGGAGGGCCTGGACCCAGTCCCTCCGGACCCCATGTCGGGGAAACGTAAGATTCGAGAGAGTTTATGGTGTTCCGACCTATTTTATCTAGGCCTCCTATATGGGGTCGGTGTAGATGGGGTCGGAGGATCGCGCCGTATCGGCGATGCGGCTTGATGTGGGAGTCCGACTTGCTCCACTTCGACGTCGCCGATGCACCGCCGACCCCATTTCGGGGGAAAGGAAGACTCTAGAGTTATCATGTTCCAACGTACTTCGGCCTTGATTACCACAATGAATTTCGAGCACCAAGAAAGTACCCTGTCTTGAGGGTTTTCCGTGTCGGGCCCTTGGAGGCGACATTCGTTTGACATTGTTTCGATATTCATTCTGGGTGCTCGAAATTATTTGTTTGATGACCCATCCGGACCCCATCTCGGGAAAACGTAAAACTCGAGAAAGCTTATCACACCAGAGAAGAAAACCCATTCAGTGGATGCTTTGAAATGGGAGCGAGAAAGAGAACGATAAGAAGATCGACCGGGAACCGGGGGACCCAGACCCCACCGAAATCGGCCCGGAACCAATAACAAGGAGCCCAGGAACCCGGAACCGGGAGCCCAGGATCCCAGCCAGCTACTAGAATCGGCGGGAACTGTTCGCCAAATCTATTCGTTTCCGCTAGGACCCCTTCAGTGCAAGCACTGATTTGGGAATGATGTTTCGACCTACTTTAGCCTGGACCACCACAAAGAATCTCGAGCAGCAGGAAGCCTGCTGACCACTGGAGGGTTTTCACGTGTCGGGCCCTGGGACGCGACACTCGTTCGGCACTTTGCCAGCTTGTTGGGCAGGCTTTGCTTCGATTCTTCTCGGGATGCTCGAAATTATTTCTGGGATGTGGTCCTTAAGTACGATGGGAAGAACGCAAGGGTACCCCAGAGCTCGGGGATTTTTCTTGACGAGCGCGCCCTGGATCTCTAGGGTCCAGTTCTCGTGGGGTGCTTGCGGCGGGAGCCCGCGTCAGATGCTAGACTGGGTCGCGCCAGTTCTATGATGTCCCCGTCGGGCCAGCCCGAGTCCCCCCAAGCCGAGCCTGAAGTCGGGCACGCCCCTCTACAGGAGGAATATGCAAGAATAGTCAAATAATAGCCCCTGTTTTGTATTGTTTGATGTTTGTATTGTTTGCTGTTGATTGAATGTTGTTTATTGATTGTATTGTTTGAATGTTGTGTATTGATGTTTGTATTGTTTGCATTGTTTGATTGCTTGTTTTGTTTGATTGTTATTGAGCCCGGGGACGACTGATTTGTATGGTTTGATTTTTGTTTGAGCACTTAAGGGGGATTTTTTAAATTTTTCGTCCAGGATCCGCCTATGGGGGGACACGCCCGACCCAACCCGAGCCTCACGTCTCCCCGACCGTCGAGCCGCCGAAGAGCGAGGCCTCGGGGAAGAAGAAGGCGTCCCTGGGCTGCTGGCTCGGGCGGCAGATGGCGGCCCTGCGGAGCGGCGCGGGGCCCGGGGAGGTGTCCCTCTTCTTCGACGCGGACAGCGAGGACCGCCACGAGGCAAGCGTCGGGAGCGGCCAGGAGGAGAGTGACGACCAAGGGGGCGCGCGACTTGAGTCCTCCTCCTCCTTCCTCCTCCCCCTCCTCCTCCAGCTCCTCCTCCCCCTCCACCTCCTCCATCTCCTCCACCTCCTCCTCCTCCTTCTCCTCCTCCTCTATTGGGTCACACCCAGCAAAATAGAGCAGTGGGGTGCCAACTCCCTCCTCCTCCTCTTCGCGGCCTCTGTCCCCTCCTCTTGCCCGCCTGCACCTGCCTGCACCTGCCCGCCGAGGGGCCGCACAGTGGGGCCACACACGCAGATTTAAGCGGGACCTCGCAAGCCCTGGGGGGGGGCTGCGAGGTGTGACATTGTCGCCACTTTCGAGGGCTGCTGGGGGAGCCCGCACAGTGGGGCCCCAGGTAGACCCAAACGGGACCTCGCCATCCCTTGTGGGGCTGCAAAGTGTGAAACTGCCGCCACTTTCGAGGTCGGGGGAGCCCGCGCAGTTGAAAACCGTGACGGCCCGACCGAGACATCGCCATCCTTGGGTGGGGGCTGCGAAGTATGAAATTGTCGCCATTTTCGAGGGCTGCTGGGGGAGCCCGCACTGTGGGGCCACACGCAGACCCAAACGGGACCTCGCCATCCCTGGGGGGTTGCGAAGTGTCAAATTGTCGCCATTTTCGAGGTCGGGGGAGCCCGCGCAGTTGAGAACCACGACGACCCAAACGAGACCTCGCCATCCTTGGGTGGGGGCTGCGAAGTATGAAATCGTCGCCATTTTCGATGGCTGTTGGGGGAGCCCGCACTGTGGGGCCACACGCAGACCCAAACGGGACCTCGCCATCCCTGGGGGGCTGCGAAGTGTCAAATTGTCGCCATTTTCGAGGTCGGGGGAGCCCGCGCAGTTGAGAACCACGACGACCCAAACGAGACCTCGCCATCCTTGGGTGGGGGCTGCGAAGTATGAAATTGTCGCCATTTTCGAGGGCTGTTGGGGGAGCCCGCACTGTGGGGCCACACGCAGACCCAAACGGGACCTCGCCATCCCTGGGGGGCTGCGAAGTGTCAAATTGTCACCATTTTCGAGGTCGGGGGAGCCCGCGCAGTTGAGAACCACGACGACCCAAACGAGACCTCGCCATCCTTGGGTGGGGGCTGCGAAGTATGAAATCGTCGCCATTTTCGAGGGCTGCTGGGGGAGCCCGCACTGTGGGGCCACACGCAGACCCAAACGGGACCTCGCCATCCCTGGGGGGGGCTGCGAAGTGTCAAATTGTCGCCACTTTCAAGGGCTGCTGGGGGAGCCAGCACAGTGGGGCCACACACAGACTCAAACGGGACTTCGCCATCCTGGAAGGCTGCGAAGTTTGAATTTGTCCCCATTTTCGAGGGCTGCTGGGGGAGCCCGCACTGTGGGGCCACGCGCAGGACCAAATGGTACCTCGCCTTCCCTGGGGGGCTGCGAGGTGTGTCGGGCTGCGAGGGGGGAAACTGCCGCCACTTTCGAGGGCTGCTGGGGGAGCCAGCACAGTGGGGCCACACGTAGATCCAATTGCAGTGGGACCTTCCCCATTCCTGGGGAGCCGCGAAGTGTGAAATTGTCACCACTTTCGAGAGCTGCTGGGGGAGCCCGAACAGTGGGGCCATACGCAGACTCACGCGGGACCTCGTCATCTCTAGATGGAATTGTAGATTTGTCATGATTGATGTCTTTCTGGGGGTGGGACAGCACAGTGGGGCCCCGCGCAGGTCCAAACGGGACCTCGCCATCCCTAGGAGCGACCTGCGAAGTGTGAAATTGTCGCCACTTTTGAGGGTTGTTGGGGGGGGCAGCGCGTTGGGGTGCCACGGAGATGCAAACAGGACCTCGCCATCCCTTTGGGGGGGGCTGCGAAGTGTGAGGTGGTCGCCACTTTCGAGGGCTGCTGGGCGCGGCAGCACAGTGGGGCCCCACGCAGACCCAAACGGGACCTCGCCATCCGTGGGGGGTTGTGAAGTGTAAAACCGTCGCCACGTTCGAGGGCTGGCGGCGCGCCTGCGCGCGTTTGGTGCTCGCACTAAGAGGTGCAGGGAGGAAGCGGAGAGGCTGGCGGGCGATTTGGCCCTTTGGCCGCGCCTTGCACTAGGAACGGGAGTTGTCATTTGCCCGAGGTGCTGCAGACACGCGGAGCGTTGGCCGCGCAGGTGTTGATCATTTCGGCATGGAATAAACGCGACACCTCATTGTCTGGTTGCGTCTCCGCCCTTGTAACCTTATCTGGCCCATGCTCCATCATATCGCTGCTTCTGACGGGGTGAGTGTTCTTCCGACCCGATGTCTGTTTGCGTTGCCATTCCCGGTGCAATGTTTCCTGACCTTTTGTACCTCTGCTTTGCGAGCCGGCCACGCACATTTCTTACGATATTGATATCCGCCGCGCACCGGATGATGCGGCGTCGTTGTCACGCGATCGTCCACATACCTGATATCATCCCTTGGTGCCGATGGGTTGGGCACGTCGCGGGGTAATTATTGTGTGCCGGGGGCGGCGGGCTGCAGCAACGGCAGCTGGGTTTTTGGGGGGACCCTTCCGCCACCGCGACAAGGTGCAGCTCCGGGATGCGGTGCGCATGGGCCCCGGGGGGGGGGGTCGGGGGGACCGCTGTTGAGCTGCCACTGTGTCAACACTCCCTGCTCTGACTACAGTCGAAAACCGAATAAGGACGCGCGACTGCTCAGGGTACCATTGCGTCCTTGCTCGTCCTTGCTCTTGCGTCCTTGGGGTTTTCGTCGTCCGCCGCCCCAGAATTCCCAACTTCGGCTTCCAAGGGTCTCGCGTCCGTACCACGCGTCCTTATTAGGGTTTTTGACTGTATCTCTGTTCTCCTGTTCTGGGGCCCCGGGGCCTGTCCGAAGCCCCAGCGGACCAACTGAAGAAAACGCAGAATGAACACACTGTCGCGGGGAAAACATACGTACGCACCACGTATCCACACGATCGAATCCAGACCGCGAGAGCGTGGAAATTGATACGTTCGTTTCTCGTAATGAGAATACCCCAGGATGGAGAAATTTGGCATTGACAGAGGCCCCGAGATCCAGCACCCTTTTTCCCAATCGTCGACGCCACGATGTGTTCGCAATTCCATTTTCCTGGGGTCTCGACCCCATCTACGAGACTAGTTTTTCACCCCGAACCGCTTGGTCGGCAAACCCGACAGGAACAACAATTGTCCCGCCGTGTCGTTTGTCGAAAAGCGTTTTGCTAGACGGTTCCAATCGTAGTATGAGGGGATCACGGGGAGGACGGGGAACCCGAGAATGCCCAGCCGTCGGTTTCATGTTTGGTGAGGACGGCCGCGATACCGAATGACAAATGCATTGAGGTGCGCACGACCGTCGTCAAACACGCGGAAACGAATACCCACTGCGACGGGCATGCCATCGCGCAAACAAACGCAGAAAACAAACCACACCAACGTAACGTTTTTTTTTTTTTTGTATTGCATTCGCCTTTGTAGCTCGTCAAGAGCTCCAAATGCAAAGCTGGAAAACAACGCCCTGGGCGTTTTTTAGGGGGTATAAAAGAAGAGTAAGGTTGTCATCCTTGCCGTGGCAGGCTTTCGTCAGCCGATCTTATACTTCCCGACCGGCTTGTTCTTCACATGTGTTGCCCGTACGGTGTTTTGTTTTTGGGTAATTCGAGACGCTTCGCGCAATCCCGCCAGCCATGCCAAGGCGACCAATACAGACCCATGTGCGTTTTGGGGCGAGGTGCGCCACGAGCGCCAGGCGTCCCAAGTGCGCCAGGCCCCCCCCTGGGGCCCAAGCGTGCCAGGCACGCCTCGCGCGCCCGATGCGCCACGTGCGCCACGCGCGCCGCATTGTCCAGCCGCGCCGAATGCGCCACGTCCGGAGCACGCGCAGAGTGTGCCACGTGCGCCCGCGCACGGGACAGCACACGTCGGGAAACAGGTCGGCTCCCACGTTTCTTCGTCGACATCCAATACACAATCGGGTCGGGGAGGCCATTATGGTGTCTTGTGTGCCTGCACACAGCATGCAATATGCCAGCACCCTCGCAGTCCTCACTAAACACGAATGGACAGTGACCGCGGGGTGGCCGCGCAGGATCCAGATGTAATCGGGAAGTGCATGTTGTATTGTTGTTTGGACAGGGCTGGGCGCCTGCGCAAAGCAGGCAATCTGTAAATATGAGGGCACCCCCGCCGTCGTGGTGCCAGGAAACGATACAAAGTGTTCGCGGGGCCCACGGGCATGACCCAAGCTTGTGCCCCAAAGTGTGTTTCGTATGGCTTTTTGACAAGGATGGGGTGGGCATTGGTCCTGGCTGGCTGCCGGTCGTTTGGGGGAGGGTGTGTCTGTTTGCAGGGAACGATGACAAACCCTTCCCCGCAGGGCAAGACCAGGGTTGGAAGAGGAGGCGCCCTGAACCACTCTCGCCCTGAAGGGCTGGTGGGATTCGTCACTGCTCGGGGGGGTCGGCTTCTCCTTCATGTATGCATCGCTCGGACGTGTGCACTTTCTCTCTGCGAGGATCATCGAGAAGTATTCTGGACCATTTTTTTTAATGTTATATAAAAAAAATAAAATTATGTTTTTTTTTTTTCTAAAAAAAAAAAAAAAAAAAAAAAAAAAAAAAAAAAAAAAAAAAAAACGCACGAAATCGAAAGGCGCACGGGGAATGGACGTCCGAGCGATGGCAAGTCATGCCAAGAGGACTGGATGATCGAGGGCTTCACTGACTGCTGCAGCCTCTTCTGGGGCGGCAGGTGCGCGACGCAGAACAAGCGGGGTCGTCCTCATCACCTCACCACGCTGGCGCGCAGGCTTCCCGCGTAGAATCGCGCGTGAGCGCCACAAGCCACCCGCTTCAAGTGTGGCGTGCCAGACGCTGGCAGCCCGCGGCTATGCCACAGTGCGTACAGTCAACCCGCATGGTAAGATTGGGCAAGTTTCCCCAGGGTGCCCTTGCATCCTTGCCTCCTCGGTCCATCCTTGGCCACATTCGCTGGCCGCGCCGCGCTCGAGAAGCTCCGAAATGGCCTTCCAAGGCCCTTGCATCCTTCTCGTGCTTCCTTCTCATAGGGGCCGACTGTAAGGTCGCGCGTGAGCGACCCCGCTTCCAGTGCGGCGTGCCACACGCTGGCGGCCAGCGGCGTAAGGTACGCGCCGTCGTGGGTTGCAAGGGGGGCCCCCTCGCCATCGCTCCCCAACGGCGCCGGCGCCGGCGCAAGCGCTCGCCTTTGTCGATTGCAGGGGGGGGCCGCGTCCCAGTTCGACCCCCCCCCCGCTGGCGGCCCGCTTCTTGCCGTCGCTCAGGTAAGCGACGCAAGAAAAGGGTTCGTCTTCACCGACATTGGCACGTAAGCGGCCCGCGTAGGGTCGCGCGTGAGCGCCCTCGTCTCCACTGCAGCGTGCCGCGCCGGCGGTCCGCGTAAGCCGCGGCGGAAGGTCGTTGATGTCTCAATTCTCAGGACGTGTGTTAGCCCAATATGTGTTTGCCTCCTTCAGCCCAACCAGTAGATCACTGCATCGCCTGCGTCGTATCGAAGGGCCTCGATGGACAAACACACGTTGGGGCTAACACACGTTTCGAGGATCATCGAAAGTCCGTTCGGCAATCGGGAGGCCCCAATGTGCCCGCACCGAAGGTCACTCCTGCGAGGGGTCACTTTTGCGCGTAATCGAGCTATGTCATCTCAGGGCTCGACCTAACCGCTGTTTTGCTGGACTTCGGATGTGTCTTGTTGTTCGTCTTGGCAGGGAGGCGCAGGAAAGCAGGTAGAGCAAAACGAGAAACATAATATCGGAAACAAAACGAGACACAACGTTTAGGTCCAGCCTCTGGTCATGTGACAGTTGTTGATTCATTGCTGTGCCGATCGGCGCGGGCCCCCCACCCCCCCACCCCCCATGGAGTAGATCTTGGATGTTGTTTGGCGCCTGTTTCGAGCCGGTGGAGTCTCCGCCAGAGGCCGCACTCTTGCAAACAGTCGCACTAAGCAGAGGTCTGGAGCCAGACCCCCCCCCTCCCACTCCCCCTTCCCCCATGTGGAAACGCCGAATAAAAGAACGTTCACGTGTCATCTCGCGCAAGACCCGTTTTTGATCGTCGCTCAGGTGGGCTTATGTCGGGCATGTCCCTCTACAGGAGGAACGACCCCAAATAGTCCATGACTAGGTTCGAAACGTGTATGACGTTTTCCGTTATCTGTCGTCCCAAATCCGCCTGTATCAGGAGGGGAAAAACACACAGACACAATTAATCGTCGATTCCCAGAAAATATGGGAAAATATGGGAAGTGGGGGGGGAAGACAGAAACCAAGAAAATGTAGGAAAATATGGGGAATATTTGTATGTGTGTATATTTATTTGTATGTCCCGACCCAACCCGACCCAAAGGTGGGCCGGCGAGGCCGCCGCCCCCACGCAGGGGGGCGGGCCCGGGCTCGTGGACGCCCGCGGCCTGCCCCCGGAGGAGCGCAGCCTGCGGGAGTGGATCAAGCCGAAGCAGAGGCCGCGCGGCCCGGACCCCCGGGGCCGTCGTGGGAGGAGGGGGAGGAGGAGGGGGAGGAGGAGGAGGCGGAGGGGGAGGGGGAGGAGGAGAAGGGGGAGGGGGAGGAGGGGAGGAGGAGGAGGAGGAGGAGGAGGAGGAGGAGGAGGAGGAGGAGGAGGAGGAGGAGGAGGAGGAGGAGGAGGAGGAGGAGGAGGAGGAGGAGGAGGAGGAGGGGAGGAGGAGGAGGAGGAGGAGGGGAGGAGGAGGAGGAGGAGGAGGAGGAGGAGGAGGAGGACGAGGGGGAGGAGGAGTTTTTGTTTCCCCTGCTAGCCCTGAGGCGTGACCGAGGTTACACAACGTTAGTCTGTGCTGCTGGCAGCCTTCGCTGCTACCTCTCTGGCCTGGACGCGCGCGAGCAACGCACGCATTCCAGGAGTCGACACCAAGCCCTCGAGGCCAGCTTCCGAAGTCGCAGCGTCGGGCGGAGGAGGGGTGGTGGCAGCACAGCACAGATAGCTGACTCTTCGCCGTGAGGAGCCCGAAACACGATCATCCTCGTTCCTGTAATGAGGATACAAACCAGATACAATTCTCGGCAGTGTAGTCTTGGCACCCGCGAGCTTGCGTCCAAGACATTCTTGACCGAGCTTGAAGCACCGCTGTGCAGAATGGGCTCCGCACGTCGTGCAGAAATTAGCCTGACGAGGGACCCAACCATATGCAGGTGCGAGTACCGCAATAGTGATTCATTTTTTCGGTGGCGATCCCTATGAGGCAACGAACCGTGCTAGGGGCGTGCCGACATGAGTGGCGTGGTACACAAAGCGAACGAAAACGATTGATCTGAGTACGTAGGGAGACTGAGCGCGGGTGAATCTGCGCGCGTGCGTCTGACTGTGAATGATCTGCGTGCGAGCGAGTCTACGTGCATGAATGCGAATATGACAAAGCGTGGTGCAAATGTGTATGAATGCCAATAGTTTGACAACGACTGCCTCTGAATACTCGTGACGCTGGGCGTGGCCGCCGCAAGGAGCTTCCCCGGGACTCCCCGACGGCATCGCCCGCGCGCCGCGACGCCAATGTCGGCGCGCCCCCCCGCGAGGATCGCGCCCGCTTCCTCCCCTTCCTTTACTCCCTCTTTGCCCGCGCACTCAAAAGTCCAAGGCTGCGGGAGCAGCGCAGCGCGGAGCCCCCGCGACGCGCGCAGGTCACCCCGGAGGGGTCCCAGCGACGCGCGCGGGTCGTCCACTGCGCGGAGCGAAGAGAGCTAGCTGGCTGGCTGATAGCGGGCAAGGCTCTTGCCGCTGGGCAGAGCGACGACGGGCGAGCGAGGCGCTGGGCGGAACGCAGCACGGAGCCCCCGCGACGCGCGCAGGTCGCCCCGGAGGAGTCCCAGCGACGCGCGCGGGTCGCCCGCTGCGCGGAGCAAAGAGAGCTAGCTGGCTGGCTGGGACCTGCGGTGGGGCTCCATATGGGGCCACGTAACGCTGTACTGGGCAAAGGAGACGCATGTGGACTGCGCCACGGGGACCTTCGGTGGAGCTCCCTATGGGGCCACGAAACGTGTGAGGGATGTGCCGGAATGGGTGTGCGGGACGCATGCGGGCACACCCACTGAGACCTTCGGTGGAGCTCCCTATGGGGCCACGAAACGTGTGAGGGGTGGGACGACATGTGTGTGCGGGACGCATGCGGGCACACCCACTGGGACCTTCGGTGGAGCCCCTATGGGGCCACGAAACGTGTGCCGAAATGGGTGTGCGGGACGCATGCGGGCACACCCACTGAGACCTTCGGTGGAGCTCGCTATGGGGCCACGAAACGTGTGAGGGGTGTGCCGAAATGGGTGTGCGGGACGCATGCGGGCACACCCACTGGGACCTTCGGTGGAGCTCCCTATGGGGCCACGAAACGTGTGAGGGGTGTGCCGAAATGGGTGTGCGGGACGCATGCGGGCACACCCACTGGGACCTTCGGTGGAGCTCCCTCTGGGGCCACGAAACGTGTGAGGGGTGTGCCGAGATGGGTGTGCGGGACGCATGCGGGCACACCCACTGGGACCTTCGGTGGAGCGCCCTATGGGGCCTCGAAACGTGTGAAGGGTGTGCCGAAATGTGTGTGGGGGACGCATGCGGGCACACTCACTGGGACCTTCTGTGGAGCTCCCTATGGGGCCACGAAACGTGTGAGGGGTGTGCCGAAATGGGTGTGCGGGACGCATGCGGGCACACCCACTGGGACCTTCGGTGGAGCTCCCTATGGGGCCACGAAACGTGTGAGGGGTGTGCCGAAATGGGTGTGCGGGACGCATGCGGGCACACCCACTGGGACCTTCGGTGGAGCTCCCTATGGGGCCACGAAACGTGTGAGGGGTGTGCCGAAATGGGTGTGCGGGACGCATGCGGGCACACCCACTGGGACCTTCGGTGGAGCTCCCTATGGGGCCACGAAACGTGTGAGGGGTGTGCCGAAATGGGTGTGCGGGACGCATGCGGGCACACCCACTGGGACCTTCGGTGGAGCTCCCTATGGGGCCACGAAACGTGTGAGGGGTGTGCCGAAATGGGTGTGCGGGACGCATGCGGGCACACCCACTGGGACCTTCGGTGGAGCTCCCTATGGGGTCACGAAACGTGTGAGGGGTGTGCCGACATGGGTGGTGATAATGATGATGACGACAGATGATGATGACGATGACGATGATGGGGATGATGACGATGATGATGAAGATGGGAGGAGGGAGGGGGCAGCGGGAAGGAAGGAACGCGGGGCGCTGTCTCTTCAAAACGAGGACCCAACACCACAGGATGGTTGGGAAAAACATACTCAACCCCTTGTCGCGACGCACAACGACAGTCTGGGCCAACGTGTGGCCCTCTAAGCTTTCCCATACGTTTCTGGATGTGTCTGGAGATGTCTTTGGACGAGGAAACCAGCCCGACCTTGTCCATCGCAACCTTGGCTTGCAAAACGGCTTCGGTGATTTCGTCCAACCTTTCAGCAGTTTCGGTGTTACCCTTGACGATTTGACGGGGGGTCCCGACGGCGTTCAAACCCATGTCATCGATGTACGCGTCGAAGGTGAGCCCCTTAAGGAGCCTGAGGTCGTCAAAACCAGGAAGCGCAAACATACTGACCATCGTGGTAGCGAAGCTGCAAACAGCGATGATCCCAGTGCGAGCATAAATCGGGATAGCAACAACGCCAGCCAGAGTCAAGAAACGAGCCGATCTGTAGCCAGCGATACACAGGGCCGTGATGGCGCTGGGCAGCCCGTGCTGTGCGCATCTGAGAGCGAGAGCGAGAGGGTCGAGCGGGATGCGCGTGGCTTCTTCTAGTTCAGTCGGACATGTCCCTCTACAGGAGGAATGTTCGAGATTGGTTGGAAAATGGAGAGGGGACGATATTTCTTGCTCTTTTGACTATTGTGAAGGCCTCACGGCCAGTGCCGCCGACGCTGAAAGACATCGAGGTCGACCAGGAGGGGGAGGAGGAGGAGAAGGAGGAGAAGAAGGAGGAGGCGGAGATAATGAGGAGGAAGAGGAGGAGGAGGAGGAGGAGGAGGAGGAGGGAGAGGAAGAAAAGGAGAAGGAGGAGGAAAAGGCCTCCCCCCTGGGCCCCCCCTCCCTTTGGAGGAGGACCAGGGGAGGACCGGTGCGGGACAGGGAAGGGGAGGGGGAGGAGGACCCCCAGGGACGGAGGCGCATCTGACTCGCCCCCCCCCTTTGGAACTTCTCTCCACCTGGAGAGGAGGACCCGAGGAGGACTGGCGCGACGTAAAGAATACGAGCAGGAAGAATACGATGAGTAATAACAATCAGAAGCTCGTAGTAGAAGTCGTAGTAGTTGTAGTAGTAGTAGTCGTCGTCGTCGTCGTCGTCGTCGTAGTAGTAGTAGTAGTAGTAGTAGTAGCAGCAGCAGCAGCAGCAGTAGTAGTAGTAGTAGTAGTTGTAGTAGTCGTAGTCGTAGTCGTAGTCGTAGTCGTAGTCGTAGTGGTAGTCGTAGTCGTAGTCGTAGTCGTAGTCGTAGTCGTAGTCGTAGTGGTAGTCGTAGTCGTAGTCGTAGTCGTAGTAGTAGTAGTAGTAGTCGTAGTCGTAGTAGTAGTAGTAGTA